TTTCTGTAAATTTGCATGCTATTTGACATAGAGTATCAAAGTCATTTATTCATCTACAAACGGGGAATTTAAAAGTAAAAGGAGTGTGTTATTTTAATCAACCATCAAGAAACATTCATTTAGAACTTACATTAAATGTGGAGGGGGGAATTAATGAAAAAGTACTCTAGCAACGCATAGATTTTTGCCGACACAGTTGTGGTTCGTGAGCGTACCTAAACATAAGAGAGATCTTTTTTAGCGAATTTCCCCTATGGGGAATAAGCTTTTACCGTTGTAGTCATGGTAAGATCTGGACCCGGGACCGATTTACTTTTTCGTTTTGAGGTCCCTAGAGACCAAAAACACCATCCGTTTAAATTCATATATATATATATATATATTTATTTATTTATATATGTGTCCGTTAGAGCGATAACTCGAGCAAAAATCACCCGATTTTGATGAAATTTGGTACAAACGTGTAAACTACGTTTATTCGAAATATTTCGCGAACCAACATGATCGGACTATGGGAACAGGGGTTTATGGGGGGTTTTATGGGGCCAAAATGGTTTTTTTCCCATTTTTGACCCTAAAAACTTAAAATTTAGCATTTTCTTTCCACACCATTTCGTAGAGCTTAAAAAAACAAATAATTTAGTATATTGAAGCGTTAGTATGCGCCTAATGGTTACGGAGAAAATTCCAAAAAACTGTAAATTTAAAATTTTCCTGTTATTCTTATGGAGAATAAGTAAACTGTTGTAGTTTGCTTGTTTATGATCATATTTTGATCAAATTTGGGAAATGCATTAATTTCATACTAAACTATTAACATAAAAATAACACCTTTTTCCCTCCCTGTTGCAGCAAACCCAAGTACTCGTTAAACTAATGTTATTTAAATAGGGAATAAATGTGATGTTTTTAAGGAGACATTTTAGTGTAAATCCAATCAGGCAAATGGAAATTCGCTTAGTCTGCAGGTTTGCTGCGGCGGGGGTATTTAACTTTAATACAGTAGCCACTCCGGATTATACTAGTTCATAAGCTGTAACTAATTATGTTGTCTAAACATGTGTTATTTATCCTTTATCGTGACACCTTAATCATAATAATAATATTTATAATAATAATATTTTTTTATCTCGTGCGCACTGCGTAGTGAACCATATTGTCCATAGATTCACCAGTAGAGAGGAAGAGAAAGAGACTGCTATGTATTAATTAAATACTATTCTATGTGTAGTCTTAGCTGATACTGAATGAACTTGCAAACGTCATTTTTTAGTGTATCGCTATTTCCCATTTGCGTTTGTCTTATTGTGATTCGCTCCACTTGTAAACTCACTGCATAACAAAACCACGGTGACATTGTCAACATTTGTCGATTCACGCATGAACGAATCGTCCTTCGTATTCTTTAACGGTCCGTGTACTATTGTAAATCCTGGAAGATGATATAACACTGTCAGCAATAACCACATTATAGGCCCCTGAATATATGGTTTGACCTAGAAATAATTAGAACACAGATGAAACCATTGTTGTTCGATAGTGAAAAGTATTGTGAATAACATATCAAAAGTCTCCAAAAATATCTTTGGTGGAACATCACAATTTTTCCAAAATGGCGGCCAAATCCAGTAGTTTTTTGCTTTTTATTGAAATTCTGACTTTCCAGTCAATATTGGTGAAAAGTCGTCAATACATTTAATGTTCCTCCTGAAATTACCTTTAAAATGATACCAAATACATGTAACTGCAACAAAAATAAACCCCGTAGAAATAATAAAATATTTCAAATAAAAATATTTGTTATAAATTAATGTAATAGTCCATAAGCCAACTAAAAATAACGTACACAGGGATATTGTAAGAATTTGCAGAGTAAACATTTTATGGTTTTATTTTTATTGTTGTGGTGTACAGAGTGACATACCAAAAGTTGCAAAAAATCAGTCATCGGGAAACCCCTAAATTAAGGAAAAAATGGCGGCTTTTCCCAATATTGGACAAATTTTTCAAAAAAAATATATCACATGTTTTTTTGCACATTTTTCGAGATGTTGACTTGGAACCACGACCGATATTTTTTTGGATGGTCCGTACTTAATTTCAATAGGGGGTGCTTTTTAAGCCACCATCTTGGATCAGCCATATTGGATCTGCCATATTGGATATAAATATTTGTTAATGTAATTATAGTGTGACACATCATTATGAACTAGATTTCCACGCTGATTTCAATGCTGAAATCAGTTTTTAAATAAGTTTGATCGTTTCTTAAGATATATTAAAACGAAAACTCTCCCCTATACATCACTTATGGACGTATCGTACTTTGAAAATGTGTTTGGATTATTTTTCTCCATGTATTATTAATGCTTGCAATTCGTTCTAGCCTTAAAATATTCAGTGATAAAAGAGCTGTCATTTTAGTTAGCTTTCATTTTGTTTTATTTATAGTTAAAACAGACTAGTTATAGACGAGGTACAAACCCCAACACAAAATTAAATTTAACTTTTTTTATCATTTTTTGTTAAAAGATTTATATCTCGGGTTGTTAATATGTTACCACGTTCGTTCTGGTATCAAAGTATACTCAGTAAATGTTTGGCTTTAATTTTATTGATTATTAAATGACACATGACAAATTTAAAACGAATCATGTAGGCCTACCTTCAATTAACTATTGAATGAATTATTGTTCTTTTGAAATTTGTCTTTGGTTAAGACATTTATCCCCAATTCTAAATAACTCCCAATAAGGAATCCATAGTTAAAATAAAAGTCAATACTTAAACGAATAGCTATGACGAGATTTTCCCGTTTTCACTCTGCACAACACTAAAAAATAAAACCATAAAACGTTTTGTTGAATTTTTTTAAAGGCCATATCCTATGTTTATCTAAATATAATTTCCAAGTTACACAGTTACAGTTATTTATAACTTAGTTAGTCATATGTACCATCAGTCAAACACCACCAACAATCTGTTGGATCTGCTGGTGAACTATTTCCACGCCATACTTGAACGTGTTTTTAAATTGTCAAAGTACGAAACAACCATAAGAAATTTATGGGGGAGAGTTTTCGTTTTTATATATCTTAAAATCGTAAAACGCTATTTAAAAACTGATTTCAGCATTGAAATCAGCGTGGAAATCTAGTTTATAATGATGTGCCACACTATAATTACATTAAAAAATATTTATATCCAATATGGCAGATCCAATATGGCTGATCCAAGATGGCGGCTTAAAAAGCGTCCCCTATTGAAATTAAGTACGGACCATCCAAAAAAATATCGGTCGTGGTTCCAAGTCAACATCTCGAAAAATGTGCAAAAAGACCATGTGATATATTTTTTTTGAAAAATTTGTCCAATATTGGGAAAAGCCGCCATTTTTTCCTTAATTTAGGGGTTTCCCGATGACTGATTTTTTGCAACTTTTGGTATGTCACTCTGTACACCACAACAATAAAAATAAAACCATAAAATGTTTACTCTGCAAATTCTTACAATATCCCTGTGTACGTTATTTTTAGTTGGCTTATGGACTATTACATTAATTTATAACAAATATTTTTATTTGAAATATTTTATTATTTCTACGGGGTTTATTTTTGTTGCAGTTACATGTATTTGGTATCATTTTAAAGGTAATTTCAGGAGGAACATTAAATGTATTGACGACTTTTCACCAATATTGACTGGAAAGTCAGAATTTCAATAAAAAGCAAAAAACTACTGGATTTGGCCGCCATTTTGGAAAAATTGTGATGTTCCACCAAAGATATTTTTGGAGACTTTTGATATGTTATTCACAATACTTTTCACTATCGAACAACAATGGTTTCATCTGTGTTCTAATTATTTCTAGGTTTTGCTATTTATTTTCTTATTTTAAGGCGCCTATTAGGGCGTTTCTATCACATACTAATGCAAAATTTCGAACGTTCTATTCTTTCTACTCCTGTATATATGGCATCCTTACCATCGAAGAATCAATGTGCACTCGATTTGGACAGATTTACTGGAAATATACATTTCGTTCATCGTATTAACTCCGAAATAGAAAGACTTTGTTGGAAACCCATAAAAATAGGAAATTGTATGATTTAAAAATATAACTCAACACGTTATTTAAAAACTGCATATATCAAAAGGTAAAGTATGTTTTTGGAAGATGAATTCAGTGGTTATTACTAATAGTAATGATGACATTTGGGAAAATAGGGGAATAACAAAAAAAACCGATAGTACAATAATTAATTGTTCAATCATTTTTATTCAACTGGAGTACATATACATTAAGATACAAAAATAGGGTTTGATTTTAAAACTATAGTTTCATAATTAAACCAATATAAAATATTGTCTATACTCTAGTTAACATTGTCTCAGATAGCGTTACAAATTCAACAAGTAAATTGCAATACTGTATGGAGTGATAATGACTGATGTATAGTACAACTGAGATAGTTGTGAGAGTGCCAGAGACATGTGATATAATTAGTTGAATATTTCGTAAGGTGTTAGTCAAGAGATATCAGAAAGCGTATAATTTATATTTTCTTAATAATACATTCCATATCCATAACTCTGATATTTCCAATACTTTAAATTGTGTACAATTACAAAATCCGAATGTTAATAGAAACCAAAGTATTTCAAAGCGTTACAATTAACTGAACCAATTAACTTTCACATCTCGATCAGCTTAAGCTTGTCCCAATTATTGGCCAACACCAACGCACTTAACTAATGATCACCCGACGACGATCAATGATCAAAACCTCAACTTACCACCAAAACCACAACGTTGATCATTTTGTAAACTTAGTCTTATTATCGGTCAACATCAAGGTAATTTAGTTGTTTTTGTTGGTGGATCACGCCTTACTTTACTATTCGCCATCTCTGCACGGGTATTCCTCTCATAGACGTGTGTTTTATATAACGACCTTCGTGGATATATAAAACACACTACGCGTTCATTCAGACTTCTACATTGACTTCCACCATGAGAGTACGAGCAGCCTCCAGTCTTCTCTCCATTTTCATTTTGGCGCAATTTTCTCCAACCCAAGTAAGTTTTGAGGTTCTATCAACTCTTGTTATCAAATCTGTTACAAAGCAGTGCCATATTTTTACGTCACGTCAACTCTAGTGGTAACAAAACTAAGGGTGGAAATGTAATTTCAGAAAAGGTTCAATTTGGGTAGAACAGCTGGCTAAAGCTGGTCCATCAGTATCCAAAAGTCAATGCGACTATTTTACCATGTTTTCTGTTTATGTTATTATTATTTTAGTCAATTTATTTCTCATTTTAATGCTTGACAAGTTATAATAAAGGACTTTGTCACTACATGATTCCAATACAGAACCGTGTACCACATTATAGTTTTTAACTGTAACTGTTAGAGAATTTCCCATATAGGGAATAAGTTATTATACCGTAGGTCTCATGATAAGACCTAGACCCGGGACCGATTTACTTTTTCGTTTTGAGGTCCCCAGAGGATCAAAACACAATCCGTTGAAATTCACATATATATTTATATATGTATCCGTTAGCGCGATAACTCAAGCAAAAATGATCCGATTTTGATGAAATTTGGTACAATCGTGTAAACCTACGTTTATTTGAACGAGTTCGCGAACCAGCATAATCGGACCATGGGAACAGGGGCTTATGGGGGGTTTATGGGGTAAAAATGGGTTTTCCCATTTTTACCCTAAAACAAAAAAAATTGTAATTTCTTTCTCAACCATTTTGTAGAGCTTAAAAAAAGAAATAATTTAGTATATTGAAGCGCTGTTGTATGCCTAACTTTCATGGAGAAAATTAAAAAAAAGTGTTATTTAAAATTCCCAAGTTATTCTTATGGAGAAAATGAAAATTATTGTAATTTACTTGTTTATGGATATAATGTTGATAAAATTTGGCAAATTTATTTATTTCATCCTATACTATTGACATATGGTCAAAAACATTTTTTACCTTCCCCGTAGCAGCAAACCTAAGCACTCGTTAAATCTTATGTTATTTAAATTGGAAATACAAATGTCTGATTTATGGAAATATTTTAGTAAAAATGTAATCAGACAAGTTGAAATTCGCTTAGTCTGCAGGTTTGCTGTGGTGGAGGTATTTTTAACCGTGTAATCATGCAACTTATGGTTGTTTAAAATCCATAGATCTACTAAAACCAATTTAATACTACAAAGTGATCTAGTATTCTACTCTCCCCAGTAATGGAGAACCAGTTTATTTACCTCATGAATGTATCGTTCTAATAAATACCAACATAGAATCACAAGCTTACTTCAATTCGTTTAAACAATTCTTTTTGCTATACTGATTTCACCACAACACAAATCCTATCTAAATTATAAATTGAACTTCGGAGTTATTTTTAAAACAAGATTAAACGTTTGAATTAGAATTACATTGCAGAAAAATCATATTATAATCTAACATTAAACTTGTCGATGTATTTAATCATGGTGCAATAGTTTCTTAAATTCGCGTTAATTTTCCTTTGTCATAAACGCCATTTGTATGGAAATGTTTCACCTGTGCGGCTTAACGGTAGGCAACTAGAACAACACCTTAGTAGCCATCACAAATTACCAAAATAATATTTCAAGGTCTTCTCTCGATGTGCGAACGAAAGAAAGAATCTCCTATACTTACTGAAGTCAATAAATACAGACTGTATTTATTGCTGTGGTGTAGTGTTACTGTTGAAAATGCATGCATAATCACACTCATTGATATGTTTAAACAAAATAAACTCAAGTAAGAAAGATGACTAAACATTGACTATGTGCAATATTTCTTAGTTTTCATAAAACTGTTTTTTTTTAGTCTTCCTGGTCTAATGAACCAGTAATGGGCCAACCACCTTTGTATAAAATGTCATTTAAATATACTTGGTAAGTCTTTATTTCATGAAGTTTTATAAAAGTACAGTAAGTGATTTTATACATGTGCATACATGTACATTTACATAGTGAGTGTATGTGTGTGTTAAATGACACGCCTTTTGACAAATGTTGCTAAAAAATGATCATATAACCTAATGACTCATAGCTTACATACCACTTTGTGTTTGAAAGCGTTAGTTTGCGTTTCCCATGTGTACTCATATGACATCCAAGTCTGTTCGACTCTGTTTCCTTGCAATTTAAAATCTATATAAACAATATTTTTAGAATAATCTAGAAAAAATATTATGTAATCGTATGACATTTCAGGGAATTGGTCATAGAATAATGCCTTGTTAATTGTGTAGTTTATTTACTAAATAACATACTTGTTTAGCAAAGAAATTTGCTTTACAGTTCAGAAACGGAAAAGATTAGGAATGTAACTTTAACTTCGATTGTAGTTTCAGTCCGAAACTCGCGATTGTAATAAACCATAATCATATTTACCACGGGACTGTTTCAATTATAAATAAGGTACTCGCATAATCTTGGTTTTGCGATTTTTGTATTTTACGTTATTTTAGAGACATGTGTTGAATGACTATACAGTATATCAGACTATAAAGGTAAGTTCTCAATGCACGAAAAAGTAAAATAACATTCCTATCTACGTACCATGCGAAGTTGTATGAATCTTTGGCATCAGACCTAAGTAAAGTTTAATGCATCCAAATATCAGTATAATGTTTAAAATATTCTCTATTGATTTCTCGTGAATAGTTTAAACAACAAAATAATACTATTGTTATTATTTTGTTTTCAGTGGAACAATCTTCAATTAATTAACCTTAAAATAATTTGAATTGCATTTAAGCCATGAGTGGTCCCAACCAACGGTATAGTACCGTTTTATAACATTTTACTGTAAATTTATAATTTGACTGTCCAATTCGGTTACGCTCCGTTGTGAATGGATCTATACCAGCATTATAAATCTGTTGAAAATATTTGTGCATGGTTATATTTACCCAAGAAACCAATCAACCAATGATTAAACCTAATCAAATCTTATGGGGCTACGAGATTTTTCCAATTTCCTAATACTCTACTTGGTCAATATTTGGAGTTTTTAAAATTATTATAATTATATCGCATGGATTAAAATAGTTTTATTCATAAAGACTGAAAATAAAACGTGTTTTATTTAGGATATTATGATCAGATGTAATCAAATATTGTTCATTGTTTTTGACTTTTTACAAAATACATGTTTAAATAAAGTCTTATTTAATTTAGTTAAATCATTGTCACGGGGCTATATCTTGGCCTGGATATTAAATCAGTAACTAACTAATGATTTTTTAGTTGATATTAAACCACTAAAGAAAGCATGAAATTTCGGAAAAGGCAATTAAATGACAAAATCTGATCGAGGAAAAGTGTAATTCCGTCCGATCGTCTCTGACTAATCTATAAATTCATAATTAACTTATTCATACATGTCAGTCTCAGTTGGTTGAAACCTAAATCTCCAGAGAAGTAAAACCTCAGTTAAAAGAAGGCGAATTTCCTTGCACCATCTTGTTTTTTACAGTTGTTTTAAAATGCAGTTTTTGTGGCTTAGTGTAACTCGAGTTAAACTCCTAATTTCAATATTTAATTTTCTTAGTTCCTATGCCCTAAATAAAATTTCCGAAGTTTGCTTTAAGCTGGGTTTTCCTAGGCGCGGAAGCGGAGCGTGGAGAGAGTAACGCAGAGAGCGGACTCCCCTTTTCCGCTCTCCGTCCTCCTCTTCTGCGTCCAGGAAAACCTCAGAAGAGATTCTTTAGGGCTTAGGAACAATTCAACAAAACATTTAACAATGCCCTTCTAATATAAGTGTGTGTTTTCAGGTCAATGCTTGTTTTGGGCTCCTCTCACAGTTGACCGGGGCTGCAGCCCCTGCCACCCCGACTGGACCTACTTCGCCTGTTACCGTCAATTTATATGCTGCATCCTGCGCCCAACCCACCCCCCCTGCACCTAGTGAACCTGAGCCAAGCCGCCAACCGGACTATTGTTGTCCACCTTCATACGAGTATTGTCCACCCCCATGTTGTCCACCTTCATACGAGTATTGTCCACCCCCATGTTGTCCACCTTCATACGAGTATTGTCCACCCCCATGTTGTCCACCCCCATGTTGTCCACCCCCATGTTGTCCACCCCCATGTTGTCCACCCCCATGTTGTCCACCCCCACCTTGTCCACCTTCATGCTATCCACCCCCATGTTGTCCACCCCCACCTTGTCCACCTTCATATTGTCCACCACCTTGTTGTCCACCACCATGTTGTCCACCCCCACCTTGTCCACCTTCATATTGTCCACCACCATGTTGTCCACCCCCATGTTGTCCACCCCCACCTTGTAAACCTTCATGCTATCCACCCCCATGTTGTCCACCTCCATGTTGCTGCGATCCTTGTTGTAATGACTATTGTTGCTGAAGGTTTATAATATACTTTCTAAGAACGAATGTGTAATAATATTTGTTTATAATTTTGTTATGCTTCTTAGTATGTTGAATAAAATGTTATATGTTCCCAACTAATTGGTTTCTATTAATTCCTCTGTATTTAACTTAGGTTTAAGTCCAAACAACGAATTAAAATACAAACCTAAAGGCTATTGACATTGTTTCCATAAATATGAGAAACCTCACCTGAATATATTGATTGATGTTCAAAAGAACTCGCTTAGGCAGAAGACAAGAAAACACTACCCTTATTAACAATAAAAATGGCAGGTAGCGGAATTTTATCCCCCTGAAATTTTACCCCCTGGGCAAAACTGCCGTCGCAAACCAGGGGGTAAAATTCCGGCCCCGAACTTTTGAGTTGCATTACATCAGTTCCATGGATTAAAGGTGGAATTAAACGTATATTCTCACGGTTGTTAATTTAATCAGAACACACCAAATTATAAAAACCTACAGTGTACAGGCCGGACTTTTACCCCCTTCATGAGGTCAGCTCAAAATTTACGGTCCGGATTTTTAACCCCCGGATGTTTACCCCCTGGCTGGATATAGAAATAAGTGAGAATGATTATTTTTCTTCTTCAGTTTTAATTTAATAGTAAACATTTTATTATTAAGTAGCTTATCTTAATTAATTTGTTACCTTAACTGATCAAATAGGTTTTGAATTTTAATTTTAATATTCGAGATTCGGGATTTGATTTTTGGGGCCAACTGTTGGTTTATATGTATATACATTTGGGTTTCATTGCAGTAGTCAACACAACAATTGGTCGAGTACTTTTTACCGGATGCCTACAACTACATTTTATAACAGTTATTGCGATGACCTTCTCAGTACAAACCATAAATAGATCATGGTTTGTGCCTGAAGAAACAAAAAGGCATATTGTGTAATAACACGTACTATTTGTACAATAGTACAACAGAAACTAATTACATTTTTTCCACGGTGGTATAATAAATCGTTTAAGTTATGCTCACCCAATTATTATTTAAATGAGATACTCAGTTAATTATATATACATATTAACCAACAGTTGGCCCGAACCCAAATCCCGAATATCAAAATTAAACAGCGAAACCTGTTTACTTAGTTGAGATTACAAATAAATTAAGATAGTCTATTTAATAATAAAATGTTGAATTAAAACTGAAAGAAGAAAATTAATCATTCTCAATAATTTATATATCTGGCCAGGAAGTAAAAATCCGGGGATAAAAATCCGGGCCGTATATCTACAGTTGTCTAAAGGCTAGTTATATGGACAGGGGGTAAAATTCTGGTTGTATTGCTAATCTAATTTATCACGCTATGTCTATTTTCATAGACTTCCAAATCCGCGGGGGTAAAATTCCGCCCGGGAACAAACTTTAGAGCGCTCAGGTTTCTACGTCATAGCTGCGTCAGCTTTGCCCAGGGGGATAAAATTCCGGCGACCCATAATGCCAAGGATTAAAATTTATTTATATATTATTTTTATTTGTCTACAATCGAAAAAGTTCACTGAGACTCCTTGATAAGATTCATCAAAATTGTCTTAGTGATCCGCCTCATCACAGTAAAATCACTTTAGGATGGAATATGCAAAGTTTGTACTAAGTTATCAGGATGATTGACACAAAAAAAATTGATATTCCTCAGAATAAGATTTTTTAGATTCAAGTTTGAAAGTTTCAAGCTCATAACCTAAAAAATAATAATATATTGGGTGCGAGAATATTTTACAGCACAAAAAAATATATTGATTAAACTGATGTTTTTACAGTAAACGGTCTTACAATGCCTTAAACACTGCCTTTATGCATATACCCATGAACACACTAGTTAGTTCCCTGCTTAAGCAGGATGTTGTACCAAATAAACCATGGGTTTGCTGTAGATGTAGTTTTACAATCTCAAGTGTTTTGTAAGTTACCAATCCCTTTAAACACTTTAAACACCTTTTTACAAAAATTCTCTAAATCAAAGATTTTGCCAGTCATTAAATTATATTTATACAATAACTAGCAGAGTACCCGCCCTTCATACGGGGTTGGCGTGAAGGTATAAAATGCTTACCTATTGAAGTTATACCCGTATTTTGAGTTTGCAATGAGGGAGGCATGGTTTGAGGAAATTTGGTTCTTTAAATTTACGGTATGAGTATAAACACATACTGTATACCATGGCCATAATGTTCTACAACTGCAACATTCGCACAGTATAACAAATTATTTATTAAATTAATAAACCTAACTGTTAACAATCCAACTTTGACAGTTCTCATTGTGTACCACAGCTTTTTGTCGCTGCTTAGTTCAAATGAGCTGTTGTCATAAATGCAAAATATTTCTGCACCCTGTTGGTAAACCTTATAACTTGTTAGTGATATTGAATATCATAGAACCAACTTGTTTAGTTGAAACAGCTGACAAAATTCATTAATTCCTTTTAAATATGAATACTCATAAGGTTAATATGGGAATCTACAGGGCCACTGGGGTGGAGCCCGAAAGGATTTCTGAGATAAGAATAGGTCTATATGTTAATCAGGAATGTGAACTATCATCATACCAAATTTTAGCCCAATCCGACCAGTAGTTAATGTTTGATTGAACCCCAAACAAACAAACAAACACACACACTTTGACATTTACAATATTAATATCATATACGAAGTCAAGATGTCCGTAAATCGGAAATTGACTTGGACAGCATTGAAATGAAAAAGTCGTTCTTTGTGACGTCTCTTTTTATTACGAGGCAGACCACTACATGCTCATACAATATATGTCAGGATTTTATTACTATGATTACGAGTGAAAAACAAATCGGAACTTTTCGACCTTGTCATACTTTTATACTTTTATACTTTTATTCAACGGATATAATAAAAATAATCTAACTAATTTAACAAAACTAGTGTTTCTGTTGCTCGAATTCGAGCAATTGTTAAGTATTGCAGGCGTTATTTTAAAACGAATATCAACCAAGTCGGCAAATATTTGTAGCAAACTGTTAAATTAACAAACTTATTGACTGTTTACAATTAACATTATATGTTATTCTTCTCACTTTTGATTTCTGACGACAGCTGGAGTTTCATAACAATTTTTGTTTCCAATGTTAATCTTATGTAAAAATACGAAACTTTAAAGGGCTCCAGGGCCTCACTCTCTCATTATTTCCCTAAAAAGAAAGTTTCCTGCACAACTTCACGTTACGCTCTTTCCAATGACACCAAAAACATGACAATCGGTTCAGTATTTTCGGAGGAGTAATTGTCACAAAAAATCTGCTTAAGTATTAAATAAGTATAGATAAAATATTAAGACGAGTTTTCTTTTAAAACAATCGTTTCAACATAGTTTCCATCTTATTCCTCACTATTTTAAACAGACATTTACGGTTAAAGCAAGGAGGATGTTATATCTTAAGGCTATGTCACACTACGCTACTTTACTAGCAGCTAGCGAAATAGCAGCTACTAAGTAGCCAATGTGACATAGGCAGTAGCAGCTACTAAGAGTAGTGCGCTAGTGAAATTTTACTAGCATGGAAAGTTGAACATGTCCAACTCCCAACTTTCCGTGCTACTAAACTGCGCTAGTGAGTCATGTGACCAACTAGCAGCTATCAAGTAGCGACTGTCACCCAGTGTGACAGCTTCAATAGCAGACTAGCGGCTACTTGCACCACGTGCTGTCTGCCTGATATTTTTATTCTCGTTCATTTTGAATAATTTCTGAAGTAACCATGAGTGATCCGAAGTGGGGTGGGGGAGATGAGATTTATTTTTTGAACCTGTATAGGAAATATCCGTGTCTTTGGGACATAACCTCTCTTGAGCTAAACTAGTAGTAGCAGCTAGTGAATAGACACTACCAAAATAAGTGTGACAGGAAAAGTAGCTGCTATTTCAGTAGCTGCTACTAGGTAGCTGCTAGTAAGTAGCCAAGTGTGACACAGGCTTTAGGGTTTTTAATAGATATTACAGATTGGTCTTGTTTCTGTCGCTGTGGAATTGTCGAATTAAGAATGGTGGTTGTTTCTTAACTACAATATTAAGAAATACATACTTTACTTTCATTGTGATTCTCAAAAATCCTTCATCAAGAGAGGAGTGCCCTACGGGTCCGATCTGGGGCAAACGCTGTTCCTTATTTTCTTAACAGCCTTCCTAAGTGTGTCAGCTCGTCAAACACTTGCCTATTTGCCGATGATAAGTCCCTTACCCTTTCCAGTCGATCTATGGAATCATTGGAGCTAATGGCATTTCTATAATCGAACAGTCTTCTGCAATAGTGCTATGAAAACCAGCTAATTTTGAACGCGAAAAAACTCAAATGTTAAACTTCCACATGTCTAATAGGTCTTCGTCAGCAAACAGCTGTGGCCTTAATGTTCTTCTAGAAGATAAAGTAGTGACCTCGTCCCAGAGTGTAAAGTTTCATGGTGTGATACTGGACGAAAATCTAAAATTACAACATCATATTGAAAGTGTAACCAGTAAAGTTTCCACTGGGATTTTTGTTCTACGAACTCTGAAACAAAAGGCTGGTAATGAGGTGCTTCTGTCCGCATACTATGGCATAGTTTTCCCATATCTATCATATGCTGTATCTGTCTGGGGAAGTGAAAACCAAAGAACTTTGCTATTGTTTCGTCTCCAAAAAAGGCCCTAAGAGTAATCTTCTCCCTTTCAAAAAAACAATCGTGTAGAGAAATCTTTAGGCAGTACAACATTCTGACATTTACTTCTTTGTACATATTGGAGACACTGTCGTTAGTTAAAAAGAATCTTGACATGTTTGATGTTGCTTCCTGTCACAGTTACTCACTCCGAAGTACTCACAACATTCCCATCCCCAAACACTCCACTTCATTCTTCCAACATCATTTCCAGTACAACGCTACACATTGTACAACAGCCTCCCTCTGGCGTTGAAGACCGAGCAGGATCACAATACTTTTAAGAGGGCGGTGAAGAGATTGCTCTTAAATAAAGTATTTTACAGTGTCCGGGATTTTTTGGCTGGTAGTCACAACTTGTAAATAGCTTTACAAATGTTAAATACCTAAGAAGTTGTGTATTTTACTGGTCTCGAACCTGAAACGTAACGCTTGTCAGCTTAAAACGCTACCACTGAAGTGCCATGTTCGGCAACCAACATCAATTGAAATTAAAGCAAAACAAATCCAAACTACATGACACTGATATATAAAAAAAATTCAGTCTCTATAGCATCTATAATATGAAAACGAAACAGTGTTTTTTTATTTCACGATTCTGAATCAACCACTCGACGGATTTTCATAATTTTGTGTTGAAAGAAAGATAATTTTGAGAACTAGGGAATGTCGAAGCCATAAATTTAGTTTATGGTCCCAGATTTTTAGAAATTAAGTTTTAATTTTTTAAAAGTCTAGCAGCCGACGCTAAGATTCTAAACTAGCTTTTGGCATAAAATAATTTGCTTAACATAACAGCTGTAAACATTCAGCTTTTGTGTCACAAATTCAGAATTTGGATAAAAATGTAAAGACATACTTAGGGTTGACTTATTTATAATACTATGTGTAATGCAAATCATTGATACGTTCAATTCTTCTGTAAGAGGATGACAGATTAATTAAATTATACATAGTAAAATACTAGGATGTTCAAATTATTTTTTTAAAGCAATCTTTGTAATCTTCGATTTGTTTTAGAGTAATATAATTTGTTTTAACTAACAGCTGGTTAAATATAAACTATGGAACTATGAGGTTATTTTATTTACTCTTATTTTGTCATTGATTATAGGAAATAAGTAAGATTAGTAGAGATAATTAGACCACAGTTTAAAATAGTTTAGACCAAAATTAATTAAACCACAGTACAAATCGAGGCTCTGTACACGAGTCTTAATAAAAAAGGATAAATGCAAATTTTTTTACTATTCCACTTTTCGAGGAAAGAATAGAATAATAACAATGTTTACATGTTTTAATTCTTCATGGTCGCTTTTTGTTTACAATTGATGTTTGTCTGCTTTAACTTTGTTTGGATTTGGCCCGGAAATATTGATGTCATAAAAAGAAGATCAAGAATAATCAGGAATCACGATTTTAAATTACCACCACAACCTCAGCCGAGTTTTATACAAAGATTGAACACGACGTCAACATTGACCTAGGATACTACAATTAGACAAACCATCCTTTTATGAAATCGTGTTCAGTGTGGTTACGTTTGGGGGTGCCTATCAGCGCCCCCAAACGTGAAAATATCACTTGTATTTCAACTATGAAAATATTGTAGTTTAAATTAACTAATATGGGAAATTACGATGTACACTTATTCAATGAGGGTGGGTAATTATTAAGGATAGAACTGATAACGGTATGGATAATAAACATTGACAATTACGTCATTAGCTTTACTAGCGTGTTTGCTTCTCCTGCTACATGTGACCAGTTCTTTTAGTAATCGTGGGTTCTTTTTTTTTTCAAATGAATGTTATTTGAACCAAACAGCTGTTTCAAAACAAACTGTTATTGTTTTTACTTTTCTTTGTTTACACTTATTTATTTAGCAACTAATGCAGTGAAATTGATATAAAGGATAGGTGTGACGATTTATGTGTACTGTGAATTTTATTGGATATTATCGTTTTATTTTAGGTCGTTTCTATTCAGACCTACTGGGAATTGTGTATAGTAGTTGTATTGTGGTGATAATAATTATGGAAGAGGCAGGTATGCTATGGAAGGTGGTATCGTTGACTAAGTCACTTCTCAATTGACTATTACTCTCTCTACTGTAGGCTACTTTTAATCAGTGTGCGTCTGTGCGAATCGGCTGCAAATCTCACTTCAACGCTTTTCACATAGCAAAAACTGCAGAATTGCTGTTTTATTGTAAAATTATCGGATCTAAAATGCATATCGTATAGGCCTATGATGGAATAAAAACCTATTTGGTCACACAGCATTTGTTTACAAGATGATTTTTCACATTAAAACTGCAAGAAACTTTGTCTTTATGTGTTAACTAGCTGATCTGAATTGTACACGGTTTTAACTGACTACTGAATTCCCGTACGTAGGACGGGCTAAACACCTCGTACTTATTTATATTTACTAGTATTAATTATATTAATAAACAGTTCGTCACTTTCCTGTCACTGACATACGCATTCCTTTTATTAATAATTGATTGACAATTCTGGCAAAAAGCACTGAGCTGTAATATTTGGGACAAAATGCAAAATCACTTTGCAGTATAGCGAAAACGATTTGATTTTTAAAATTGGATTGCTGACTTTCAACGTTACTAAATGTAAATTCAATAAAAATACCTAACCGTAACAACAAATCAGCAACACAACAAAAAGTGTTTTCGAAGATACCATCTTCTCTCGCCATTACCTATTTCAAATTCATTTTAATGTATACTTACGTTTACATAGATTTTAAATACATATTTTTGGTAGTGCAGCTTTCTTTTGTTGATATAAGCATTGTATTCAACAATATAAGGTAGCAGATGGCCTGTTAAGCCTTTACACCAGTTGTTTGTCGTTGATCTTGCCCTAACAGTTTAGGGGGGTAAACAAACTCGCAATGCTAAGGTAAAAAAGCTTTATTGAGGTATAAAAGCATTAACGTTAGTATTATGGTTAAGTAAGTAAAGTGATGTGTTTGTGAATGTGGTTCAAATCTAGTCGTCAAGCTTGTCCTTGATGTTCTCAGCCGCTTTGTTCAGCGAGGACTTCACTCCTTGAAAGGTGTCGGAGTTCTTGATGTCGTCTCCGACTGCGGATATCTTCTCACCAGCAGAGTGGAGTTCACTGCTCACCTTCTCATACGCGTTAGAGTTTTTGATGTTTTGTCCGATCTCAGAAAGTTTGTCTCCAGCGTGGCCGACTCCTTCCTTGACCTTGGCATACGCGTCCGAATCCTTGACGTCTTCGATGGCACCGGACACCTTCTCCTTGGCCTTGTCAAAGGTGTTCTTAAACGTGTCAGTCCAGGAGTGTTCCTCGCTGCTGTCGGGTGATCGACGCTCTCTCAGGTTGCGGCAGTGAACCTACAAATTAAAGTTTGGTTACTTTTTGTGTCACTGGAAAAACATAAAGTGCATCGCAATCATACCAAGCGATTAGATTCAGATTGGGGTTCAAGGAATTTTGCTATTGGACTTTAGAGGGCCAAGTCTGGTGGTATACTATTTGCCTATGAATCATAAACAATAACAAGATTGTGGGTGAGTAATCAAAGCTTATCTGCATTGACTCATGACTAATCAAACATTAACCAACACAAACATACTGATTACGAGGCAAACAGTTGCAGATTGACGTCATCACTATTATGGAATCTTCCCGGTTTGAGATTTGCATCGGTAATCTCTGTGAAGCGAAAACTCATTCTAAACGACACAAAATAGGTTTGAGTATGAAATTTTGTGTTGGCTTGTATTCACTGATGCACATTTTTCTAGAACCTATAACGAGTATATCAGAAAGGAGCTAGTTCATGCTTTTGTATTACCATGATTCTATTCCTGGATAGAATTATGAGCGTTCCTGTTCACGAGATAAAATACGTCTTCCGCAGAATTTAATCTAGAAATATTAATTCTTCGAAGTTATGATCAATCATGTTTACTTTAAAACTTTAAAAAGAAACTTCACCGTCAGTTTACCATAGTGTCCAATGTACTGCTTGACTTTTAAAAGTTCTGAGGTGTAAATAAGAACCATTCAAATAAAAAAAATGTTTTCCTGTTTACGGATACATATTCATAATATTTGGCCAATTTTATTGTTTCATTGTTCAAAACAAACCAAGAACTTCGCAAATTTCTTGTAGCTGCAAACTGAAGTACTCATCTAAACAGTTGTATTTATACTGGGAATGGAATTAAGGGAAAACTTTCTGTAACCATAACGCTATTTAAAAATAGAAACTCGATAAAACAATTATAAATTTGGTGTGTCCTCAGGGTTGCTGGATATTTACTGGAATACAAATAGGTGGATAAGTCCAACTGAATGAATACATGAACTTTATTCATGTACTATAATGAAAGTTATATACAAACAAAGTTCATGTATAATGAATACATTTCTATGCTATTTTTTGATTGGCTATGCGACCCCGGAGGTATGAAGCCTCAGAGAGTTTTAATTAGTCTCTTCGAATGCTGATATCATCCAAGTGCCCAAGGTTTGATTGAGGTATTGTTGCATGACCTTAGAGACATAAATGACAAGGCAAGTGCGTAGTGACAATAGAAGCGTCCTGCGTAAACTAAAAATGAAACAGAAGGACAATTGGTCCAATTGAGTGTTTCGTCAACCATTTCCTCCATAACCTTCCACTGACCTTAATTGACTGTCCCACTAGTGACCTCTAAACGCTCCTGTGCCATTCAGACAATGACAATTGCTAGTTTCCGACCTCATATGGGATGCAATCTTTGACGATGAAGAAATTGTCTTGAATGGGTGTGAATAATAAACTGCAATACGATACTATCAAAATATCTCTTTAGAGTTCAGAAGACCGTTCTTCTCGTAATTTACAAACAAATGCAGGAAACACAACCAAAGTTCACCATCGCAGTTTTTGGACGTAAGATATTACCGACCCATTTTTAGGACTCTTTCTATGCATGTATTATGTTTGAGGCGATTCACGTAGGTTGTATTGTTTTTTCTCATATCGTTCCTCAACATAGTAGTCATGATATAGTACATTGCATGCATCAGATTGTCTGATTCTCGTTTCAATCTGATTCAATTTTGATTCTTCGTCGAGTTTAGTCTATTGTTAAACCCGCAGAATTTAAGATACTGAATTTGCATTTAAATATCGTTACAATATGACCAAAAGAGTGAATGGTAAGTAGGCGTTCGTAGTTATAGGTTTTACCCACAATAACTTAACTATAAGTTGGTTGCGTGTGTTTTGCTATCACTATAAAAGTAAAAAGCAGTGTTTGACTCTGTACCTACCCGTCAAAATGAGCACTAGGCGTATAGTCATAAGTCTACTGTATACTGTCTATTTAACATAACACAGTATAAGCCTTCCTGTGTCGTAGAAGGTTTACTGCAGTAATTGTTGAAGTAGAACAGAGTAAAGCTTTTAAGCTTTCATCGCTACGCATCGACGATGAGCGCAAAAGTTGGTACTCAACTCGGTTGTGAAAGCGCAAACCGGATAGAAGATTTGACAATGAACATCGTTTGCGCAACAAGGGGAGTTTGCGCTGCGCTAACAAATGCTTGACCTACAACTCAGCGAAACTGCCTGATCAATAGGCAAATTTGTGCAGTGATTGTATTTATTCACAGGGGACCTCATAATACAAACTGGTTGTATATATTCCTCAAGATATGTTTACTTGGCGACCATTTAGTGGTTAGAGAGTAATATGCTATGTAGATGTATATGTTACAAGAGAACTATGATCTTTGGTGAACGTAAATATACCTGTCATATGGATTTAAGTGTTTGTAATACAATATGAGTTTACCTAAAAGTAAAATGGTAAGGTGATTAAGCTTCGAATTAGCATTGTTAGATGGATATATATACTCTGTTAACACCCATAACACCATGGATTGTAAACGCAATTCAATTTATGAATAAAAAATAAGAATGAATCGTTCCGAGAGACATTTTTAATGATGGATTGTTAGAATTTGAGTCCCGACAGAAATTTAAATTTTGCTTAGTTTAGTTGCATAATTAGTACAAGGTGTAAAACGTTTTTCGTGTGTTTGTTGAGAAAATGCATAGACATGCACTGAGTGGAAAGGGTTGGTTTTACAGGTTAATTATTCCCAACCGGATTAATAATCCCGAAACTACCGTAGGTAATATTGTACAATACTTCAGGGATTCATTTTATTATTGAACGTGACCACTAAATGGCACTATTCCATAGATTGATTATTTTTGCGAGGTACAATATGCAATATTATATTGCATAAATATATGTATAAACTTAAGTATCTCTTTCCATGTTATGGCTAGTAGAATTCCAAAAATGCAAATCGTAATTTTAACAAGCCTAAGTTTCTTAATAACATTCATAATAAGGTAAACAATAGAGAACGGAATTCCTTAAATTTTCAAATATTGGTTTGCATGATGTTTTGGCATTCGTGTATCAAACACAGAATCAGTGTCGAACAAATGCGAATGTGTAAATTAGCACAACGGGCCGGGCACATTTGTGAGTAAAATCTACAAAAACCCTCAAATGAGTCGACATTTCCTGCTGTGATGCACCAGCGCATGAATAAACAGTGACCTAACACAAAAACCAGCCAAACGGAAGCTCAAATCACATTACCTGTTGAAATGTATCGTCCTCGAACAGTAGGACTTACTATGTAGGACTTACTATGTATCTCTTAGACGAATTTATCGCAAAACGCCATAATATCAATACTAAAATCTAGCAGGGGTACGACGGTAATATCTACTTGAGTGATATAGGGATCTATATTGCAATTTTTGCATTTTATATGAAATGTTCATACAAGGGTTTACTAAATAGGAATTTGTATTTTAAAGATTACGGATTTCGCAAAATACCATATATTGGGACAGATGGTCAATCTGCGGTACTGGCCAAACTAAAATAGTACGTGCTGTAGATCTTCGTTCACTAGAAATGCTCAACAGAGCAGAAAAAGTGTTGTTACACTTTGCCTAGTGTAATAGTTTTATCAAAATTAGAAATGTCTAATATTTTGTGGGGCGATAAATAAATATGTAATTTCGCTCGAAAGCTGTTAGTCTGAACTAACCTTTCTGAAAAGGTGAACTAGGCTGTGTGTTTACCATATATTATTCAATCAAAAGTCAAAAATGGTTCTCAGATCTTTTACTCATCTGTTTATCCAATAAGTTGTCGGAAGTGTTAAGGATAGACCAACTCAATTCAGAAGAGTAAATACGCTAACGAACAAAAAATTAGTATTTTGTAAATTGTTTACTAGTGAAATGTCAAATTGGCCAAATGTTAGCTCATTATATAGGCTAGACAGTTGTTCTGCGTTTCAAACGTTAATTTTTGTATCAATGTGTCCTTAAGAGATTTGTCTTAAGAATCAGGACGTCAAACCATTGGAACTTTTAATCTGTTTAATCGGAAATTCTACTCACTGAAGGAGGTAAATAGAAATATTTAAGTTGGTTTCATTAGGGATTTAAGCAAATACCCCAAAACAGCCGATATCATAACTACTACAATTACTCCTTTATTTAGGTTGGATTATATTTACACACATTTAAAGGCGAAGGTGAGTGCAGGGTTACTGTGAGTTAAAAAGATGACAGCTTTGTTAACTACTAAGTCAGCTGGACTTAGTGCTAGAGTTTTTAGAAACCAGCTGGGTTCTTGGGCCAGGACCTTTAAAAAAATCCTTATGATTGGGGTCAGCTGGCTCCAGTTTCAAACCGTCGAAATGCATCAGACATTTCTCATGATCGAGTCTGTGATATGCTTATTACTGGGCGTGTACTATAGCCATTCAACTACCCAGCATAATTCAAGATTTTTAACCTATTCATTGATTTGAAAATCATAGTTATGATCACGGGTTTACTGTTATTGTTAGAATTGAAGGTTTTTAATGAGGTGAACACTCTAAACCTCGACACTTATATTTGTATTTCCTGAGAATTTCCTACTCGCTATTAACTATTTCCGATTTCGTACATGATGTTTCCTGAGGTATGGTCAAGTTAAAAACGTTTCCTGAACATATTTAAATTCAATTGACCAACTAAAACCCATAAAATGTACCTTCAACTTGTTAGTTTAAATAAAAGTGTTTATAGAAACAAAAAGAGCAATCGTACTGTTTTTATTTAAGGGGAGCATTAATACTAGTTGACTAGATGGACCCTGGATACTCCTTAAGCCTAATCACAGTAGATAAGTTATTTATTGATAAATGAAAGAACCACGTGATGGGAACTTGTGTACGTGGTCTTTCATGAAACTTAAAACGGAAATTATCAAGAGTTTTATCTCTACCTCTTCAATACATTATTTATTATTTATACACACCATATTCGGGTTAGACATTTAAAAAATATATATATTTATACACTGTTATTCATCTATAAATAAGAATATAAAAAATCTAATTTTTTTAATATTATATTGTTTAATGAAAAGTTACTCAGACATCGCAATATTGTTTCTGACAAAAACTCAAAATCTGACGAAAATCTTCCCCTTTCTTCCGTTTGTATGTGACTAACTTGTTGCGTATATAGTTTACTACCAAACATTTAATGCTATGCAACCCAATAATTTGATTTTCAAATAAACACTTGTTAAAAAAAAATAAAAAGTGGCAAGATGGCAAGATGTTATACTACAAAAATTATACTATGCTATACTATTTGATCAGCAGATTTGGAATAAACCCACATACTAAAATATAATTGATAGCAATTTTAAATTAGTTTTCAAAATAATAACAAACATAGTTTCTAAGGCACAAGGAAATGGTTTATGTTTAAGTTTATTGAACATATCAATTAAAATATTATTAACTGGCTGTTACGTTTGTGATAAATAACCAGTCACTAAATGAATATTAGTCATTTGAAGTCAAAACTAATTTCACAAAGCAATAAAATCACATTCAAAATACTTATGAAATTTATTATTTTAATTAGTTATCAAGTTGTTTTAGAGTGATTGTTGTTCTTACCGCAACTAGAAGAGCGCACAAACAGATGAGGGACAATCTACCGGTCATGATGTCTGCAGTCTGAGGTGTGTACTGCGAGAGTGACTGGGATCTACTGAGGACTGTGGGCCGCTACTCTTGACTCCCTCGTATATACATACCCTCTACCAACCAGACTCTTCCCTCCTGTACCCATCCTTATCCGCCCCGTGATAAGAAATCATGCTTTACGAAAATAGTAATGTGGATTTATGGATTCTGCAATCGATGGTTTAAGTTACGTACGAGTACAATTAATGTATTAATGTAATTAGTAGATGTTCAAATTCTAGTAGGCCTACGATAGGCTCTATCCTGTCACCGATTTACATTTACACGTTTCTCCAGGCTAAGTATAGAAGATAAGTGGGATTTGTTCCCTGGACCCCGAAGATCGAATCCTCGCGCTCTACCAGCTAGTTTCCAGTACAACATATATAAGATGAAACCCCGACCACTTAGGATTTTATACACACCAGACTTTCACCTGGTTTAGATGTAGATTGAAGTGGATCTTTACGACGGTGACACATCTGGGGTGCGTATTTCACGGCGAGATGGTAGCTATGTTGCTGACTAAAACCAGTAGGGATTTTAGCCAGGTATATTTATTAAAACCCAAATTACAAAGAGTCCAGTTTCAAACAATTTAAAGCTATTGAATTTTCTCACAATCGAACCGGCAACCCTCTGATTACTAAGCGATCTTAACAAATAATGAGCAATCCAGATGTTCGGAGCTGAACAATCAGAATTTTGAGCATTCTAAGTACTTGGTTTTTGTGCTACACTCATATACTAAATAAGTAGTAAATCATACTCACATGGACGTTGACAGACGATCAGAAAATGAAGTGAGCGCGGGGACTATCTACCTTGCAGCCGTACTGCGCCGTCTCCAGGATGTCGTTGAGGAGGCCGAAGATTGGCCGAGGATGAAGATCTTTCGCGTACTGAGCCTCCAGGTCCTCGGACACCCTGGATCTGACCCTCCCCTGGGAACATCCTCCACCACACCCGTGGGACTCCACAGCCCCTTGTTCGTCCAGCGAGCGATGGCTGGACTCCAGGTCGTTCAACATCCTCTGCCGCGCCTCCAACTCCTCCAGTCGTCTCTGTTTGGCCTCTAGAGTTTCTAGAGGACGAAGCCTCCTCGCCAGCTCAGCCACGACCTCCTCGTCGTCTTCTATGTCTTGGTCTGCCTCCTTGGGCACTGGTACTCCTTCTGCTGCCCATACCTATTGTAATATTATTCGGTTAAAAGTATTCGTTTAAGCATTGCATGATATTTTAGAAACTTACAAATTTTCTAAACGTGAAATTCAACATTACAAACACCGCAATACAAGTAAATATATTGTGTGATCCCAAAAGGTGTTTTATTGTAAAAGGAGCAATCAAATATTCAACATTTGCTGTGATTTATAGATCTGTTTCAAAAACCTAAGCAGTTTCTCAAATCTATCTGTTGAGAATTTGCAAATAGTTAATTAGGTGGTTGGAAATAACAAAAAATATGCAATGTAATAGCCAAATAGTGTACGCTTAAAACCATCTAATTTATAACCCCCTGGACTTTTCTATGACAAAATTGTCTTCCTTGTCTCAGTTTGTAGTCTTTGTCAATAAAATGGTAATGACTAGCTTAGTTGCAAGCGTTTACTTCGATGTTTTTGGCGTGTTGCAAGCTTTGAACATGTTGGGCATCTGTGCAAAGAAACTCCTCAGCACCATTTTGCTGACACATTTGTTTAATATACACAGAGGTTTGGGAGAATATTTTAAATTGGATTTTTAAGCTTACACATTTGAATTGAAGATACTGTTATACAATATCAACCAAGTGCCAATTGAGAATTGATTAATCTTAAAAAAGCGTTCTTTGACATTTGCATTTTAAATACCTATGCTGTTTAATTTAGTACAGTAGAAAGTATTTTCTCACAATGCAGAGTAATTTATAAGATTAATTTAGCAGATTAATTTAGCAGATTAATTATAAAGGTCATTGTTTATAAGTATAGTATTTAAATAAAAGCCAAGAGTCACTCAAAACAGATCACTGAGTTTCGTAGACTACTAACAACAATATGTACTTAAATAATTGCTCGTATGAAGTTTCTTCTCATTAGCTCTGTGATCATTAGAATGGGTTTTAGTGTCTATCTAGATCAATATTCAACTTACAGATGAGTTTTGCTTTTACAATTGACGTTATTTAAAAAACCAAAAGCTGAAACCACCTTCGTAATTTCTGTTTTTGATCTCTAAAAACTACAAATATATAATATACGAAAATACCACCTACAAATACAATAAGCTTTGTGGTAAAACTCTAATACCTGACTAAATGTCTGGCTTTTGATTGATCTAATTGGTTTTAAGATTGTCGCCACAAAATGTATTGCTTTCAGGATTGTCTTGGATTTTGGGGGAAATGAAACAAAAGCTAAATGTCACGCTATTCAAAGTAGTTTTCCTTCAAGCATTAGTAAGAGAATACTTCTATACAAAATGGACGACGCCATAAAGGTATATAATCCAAGAGCTATGTATTTTTTAACTATTGTAGTAGCACTGGGTTGGTCTCCTTTAATAGATTTTGTGGCTCAATAACGCTATAAAACTATAATTCTAGGAAATAATTCATATATTGAAACTGAGACTGCAAGACCTAAAAAAAGTTTAAAACACTTGTTCTTTTATTCAAGAAAAACTTACCAGAAACAGTAGACTGATGCATACGTGTAAGAAGTGCATTGTGGGTAGACTGCCTCAAGAGTTTCGAATAAAAGACACTGAGAAGCAACGACGGTGTTGCGCATATTTCGACTATTGTTGTCATGAAAATAGCTGATTTTTGTTTATAAGATCAGCGTTATTGGAGGATGCAAACTCCAACCAAACAAGTTTGTATACAATACAACTTCCCGTTCATTGACTCGTGTTATCAAAACACATAAGAGCGTGGCATACTTTTGGAATCTCGGTTTATGAGATTAATTTCATAAAATATAAATAATTTGAACACCTAAGATTCTACAGAGTGTTCTTAACACAACCCAAATTACAAATACTGTACCCAGAGACACATTTAAGGTATCCATCTCATAACTTGGTATCACTGTTTTCTTTACTTCATTGCCGATCAGCTGATATGCATTGTTGCATAGTTATCTATAAGGTTTAGTTTTATTGGGTATTTATTGTGAATGAGATTTAGCGTGGTGTTTTGCAAGCTCTAAGAGTACAGTATGTATATTGTAGAAGAATGCATTAACAAAAGACAATTGTGTTTCTGTTTTGCCAAAAAGGTTTTAAATTAAGTTTCCAGGTACAATTCAAGTTGGGATTATTAAATCAGCCATTTACAGACTTGTTAAAAATTTTACCTACGATCGTTTATTAAAGTAGCAGTTTCAGTTCAGTTCTTAGAATTGAAAAGTTTCACGTAACAGCATTGTTAACTTTTATAACAGAATAATTTTACTCATAACAACACGGGCAACAGACCAATGAGGTTCAAGGATTGACAGAGTAGAAGTCAAATTGTAATGATTCGAACTTCAACTAATCACCTGTTCAGGCCAATTTAATTGTTGAGTGTTGCAATTAGTGTTTGGTACAATGTTTCGTTGCATCACTGTCAGTGGCAATGGGGGGTTATACTGAGTGTCCCAGACCAACCGACCGGCTTCTATAGCTCCAATATGAAAGCAAATAGAAACCTAATTGCAACTGGAACCCCCTAATTCGACCCCAAGGAATTCAGCAACATTATTTTTAAACCCCAAAAGCGCCCAAAAGGGTAGATTTTGTGGGGTTAGGGTGGTTTTTGGGAAATTTTCAAATGTAAAGGGGGGTCGAGTTATACCTCATTTTAAAAGTCTTTGAGTCCTGAGTATTTTAGTGGAATAATTTTAATATTATTACCATCCCTATTTACAGGATTTTCAAAAACGTACAAATAATATACCTTTTGAACAACATTTTACTATGTAGAGGTGAAATTTTGTGGGAGTTTGAAATTTTCATAACACTTTAACTGCTAAATGAGCTCTAAAAAAAAACCCTGATTTCAACCATTTTCCTATCTTTTTACTTATGTTACACATTTTCAAACTTTTTGAAGTTTCGAAAACTGTTATTTCAAAAATATTAAATGGAAACATGGGTTTCACCACATACTACATAAAATTGGCCCTTAAAATTAGCTACAATTTTTGCATTTAATTTATTTTTATCTTTATTGGTTAAAGAGCTATAGCGAAATTAGTATATTTTAATGGTCTATTAAATGGCATTCAAAGTGTTTGCTGTTGTAAATGTACACGTCTAGGTTTGATAAGTAAATAAAATAATACCTAGATTGATAAATTTGGATGATTGAATAAAGGAAAGAACACAACTGAAAATTTTCTTAGTTATTTTACAATTCCATAGCTCTAATAGTGCTTTGAATGAATAATTTGTTTAAGTGCTACGTCTAAATAAAACATTTTTCATCATGAAATCAATGAGCGTGTGCGTAAAACTGGTCACGTTCGATCAGATAAAACAAATTATACGGAACATAATGGACGTGTACGAGATAAGAATGCACCTGCGGTGTAAAATAGCAATAGCATATTTAAGTGGAGAAGAAGTATTAGGTACCGTTGATTCATTTACGAACAGAGTTGAGTTTTGCATTGAACAAAATGAAAGGCACTTTGAGTATTTGTAGAAGTCAAAGAGCCAATCAGTATGTAGGCTATTAAGCACTATTAGAGCTATGGAATTGTAAAATACTAAGAATATTTCCACTCCCGTTCTTTCCTTTATTAAATCTTCCAAGTTTTACAATCTGGGTATTATTTTATTTTCTCAGACATAATTAGTTTTAATCATAGCTAGACGTCTACATTTACAACAGCAAACACTTAGAATAACATTTAGTAAACATTAAAATGCACTAATCTCGCTATAGTTATTTAACCAATAAAGGTACCAGAAAATCCATATTACCATTTGAAATTTTTGAGATAACAGCTTTTGAAACTTCAAAAAGTTTGAAAATGCGTAACATAAGTAAAAAGTTAGGAAAATGGTTGAAATCAAAGTTTTTTTAAAGCTCATTTAGCAATTCAAGTGTTATGAAAATGTCAACCCCCCATAAAATTTCACATCTACGCAGTGAAAAGTTATTCAAAGGTCTATTTTTTGTAAGTTTTTGAACCCTGTTAATAGGGATGAAAATTATTTTAAACTTATTCCAATAAAATACTCAGGACTCAAAGACCTTTAAAATGAGGTATAACTCGACCCCCCTTTACATTTGAAAATTTCCCCAAAACCACTCCCACCCCACAAAATCTACCCTTTTGGGCGCTTTTTGGGTGTAAAAATATTTTTTCTGGATTCCTTGGGGTCGAAACAGTTGAAATTAGGTTTTTATTCACTTTCATGATGGAGCTATAGAAGTCGGTCGGGTAGTCTGGCACACCCTATAGCATAATACTCGCCAAGGCCCGTACCTTAAATTCTCCACTCGTGTCGTTAACACTATCTTTACGCAATCGTTGCGCAAACTGCTAAATTACTTACGACCGTTTTTTTTTTTTTTTTAAGTAGCCGTTTCAGTTCAGTTCTTAGAATTGAAAAGTTTCTCATAACAGCATTGTTTACTTACATAACAGCATAGTTTTACTTAACAACACGGGTAATGGACCAATGAGGTTCAAGGATTGAGAGAGATGAAGTAAAATTGTAATGATTCGAACTTAAACTAATCAGCTGTTTACCAATTTAATTGTTAACGATTGGTGCAATAAGTGATTGGTACAATGAGTCGTTGCATCAATGTCAGTGACAATGAGAGATTATAAACGAAAACATAACCTTTTTAGAAGTTTTGAGTAGTGATTATTATTAGTAACTAAAACCCGATTTCAGGTAAAGTAGTGTACGCAACTCGCGTAAATAGTGTTAACGACACTCGTAGATGTTTTTATGGCACTCGCCAAGGCTCGTACCTTAAATTTTCTACCCGTTAACACTATCATTGCGCGATCGTAGCGTAAACTACTATAAAGAAACCGGATCTGTAGGAAACAAAAAACGTTGGCCTACAATACATACAGGCCTACAATAACTGTACTCTTAAGATGACAAAAACACTACGTGGATTATTATTCACAATAAATTCCCCATAACACCAAACCGTGTAGGCAAAAAATACAACAATGAATGTCATCTGATAGGCAATATAGTATAGAAAACAGGGCTACAAAGCTATGAGCTAGTTATGTCCTTAATCAGTGTTTTGCAGTACTTGTAATTTGGGATGCGTTTAAAAGACACCCTATACAACCAGTTTGAAATACGTCTTGCAATGCAAAATCTACTTTTCAGTAGGACGCTATGCGGTACCGTCTATGAAATGAACGAGCAACTTCAAAATATTAGTTGCAAGTTAATTAACTTTTAAGTAGGAGTAGCAACCTTACGTGGTGAAATTTTCATTAGATGTTTGAAATACCGTGATGTGAAGTATTAGTCCTTTATTCCAAAGTAATTCAAAGTGGATTCATCAACTAAACTATTAATGGCTTTACTTTATACTTGGAATATTCATATTCATTCCTCCTTTTACTAGGAATTCACACATTAAGCTGAAGATATTGAATGAAGTAGTTCTGATATGCGACTTATTTTGTATCAAAATAAAAAACAAGCTCTAACATGCAAAAACCGACTGTAAATATGCATTATTAAATAGCTTCACAGAATATTTCCTTCATTCCCACTCAATTTATAATTAAATTAAAGAGGCATAGGAGAAGGTAGAACAAGATGGGGTACTTAAGCATTTAATCATTTTTGGAAAGCTTCCTAATTGAGTAATAAAAATAATCGATATTGCAACTTAAACTTCAGTCTTTATAGAGTATATATAAATATTTTTACTCGTCTAACTTAAAAACTTATATATAAACAACCTTTTTTTGTATAGTTTACCAAGTACCCCATCTTGCCCTACGGTTAGGGCAAGATGGGGTGCACTGATGGGGCAAGATGGAGTACCGTTACAAAGTAAGGCAAATAAACAAATAAACACTATACAAACTTAAAAACATTTGTTTTAATATAAAAAAGTATAATGTTGTCGATAGTGATATTACGTTTTAACAGAAAACATAAAAAATACTCCTATAAACAATTAAAAATTACTCCAATTTATATTATTGACACTTTACTATGTAATAAAAAGTATTGCAGTTACCAAAAGAATTAATAACATTACAAACAAAAGATTCTTCTCCTTAAAATAAAAATGTCTGCAGTTGAAAAATTATAAAATAACTTTCATAACTAAAATTACTCTACTCCTTCAAGTAAACCTTTCCCGTCTTGCCCCCGTGGACAATTTTTAGGTTAGGTTAGTATAATGTATAAACAATATAACCAATTAAGCTGTATTTTTTTATAATTACTTCCTTAAACAAACTTTCATTTAATGATAATAATAAGTTGTATGAGAAAAAGTATGTCTCTGAGATTTTCTTGTGTAAAAACAAGCAAACATTACATCACGGTTGGTGAAAAACACACTATGACCAATACGCATCATGTTGTTTGCTTGAACTGGCTACATTATCAGACAAAGGCATAGGAACAATATACTACTTCAATTATTTACCGATAGCCTAAGACACCCACTAAGGTAGAAATCACAAAAACCCCGTCTTGAGACCTATACACCTTCCCTATACAAGATTTCAAAAAAATATATGTTTATTTTAAAGATACATTG